TTTAATCAAACAACAAAAAGGAAAAATAAATAAACTAATTGATATTTTGAAACGAATTAAATAAACTAAACAACTAAATTTAACTTTGAAATTCTTTAATAAACTTTAACAAGGATTATCTTTTAAACTAATAAAATGAAACTGTATTAATAAAACGAATTTTATATTTGGTTCTACTAAGTGAAGAATACGTGCGTTACTTTCTAGCTCTGAGAATTGAATGACAAAAATAGATTTCTAATTGAAAATCAAGGATAATTATGAATTTATTTTACAATTTGTTTCATTTCCTCCAATAAAATTAATATTTATAATTAAAAAGTCATTAATTGGCTGCCTTATCATCCTTCACTTATTAGATTAGAGTATTTACAAGTTGTCTATGATTTTAGTTTACAATTTATCAAATACATCCTGTGTTCTTCTTTAAACTGAACCTTTTTACAATCTAAATTTTTCGCGTTTATAAGTTACATATTTTGTCGCAAGATGGAGCTGCTCATACATTATGTGTGGGGACTGAGGTTCGCGAAGGAGAACCCGGTGTAAGAAATGACGCACGACGACTTTTCTTGCTATTTGCAAGGATTGTACTTTTTTTTAAGACGCGCACGTGCTGACTCTTTTTCTTTCGTACAAGAAGTGGAAGAACGACGTTCTTCTTTTTCGCGCCGCGTTCCTTATAAACTAGTCTTACCAACTACTATTTACAACTTAACCTAAGAAATAAAAAGTAACTAAAAATAGGAACTGTCCAGAGGGCGCATGTGTCGCTGTCGGTACAGTCGCCACATATGTGTGGTAATCATCGGAGTCGTCGTCGGTCAAGAGGAATTTTATTTTCAAGCCGTCGATAAAGAAGAATTTTATTTGTATTTGATATTCAATTTTATTTATGTTCAATTGTATTTTTAAAAGGAAAACGTTCGTTATTCATTCTATAATCAAATCTAAATTCAAAACCACATATTTTAAAATCAATTTCAATAAATCAGTTATTTTTGAAAGTTATAATTGACTATTTTAAATATAGAAAAACACTCTCTATATATGTTTCGCTTCTTCTATATTCATACAGAATTAGGTTGGCAACAAATCCCAGCACACAACACCGTCAATACGCCGGTGGTTTCCCCTTTGTTGTCATTTTACTCAAAGTTGGAGCTCCTGGTACAGTAATTATTATGTTTCATTTTTTCAACAAAAGACACGCGACTTAGAGGGTTTCTGTTTGCAAATCAAACGACGTGTACGGCATTGTCTACAGATATAATTTCGTAGTCACTAGTAATAGCTTTATGAGCTTTAATAATACGCAAGCAAGATCCTATCAATTAAATATAGCTTGGAAGATTCGGAAATAAGACAATAAGGTATTTTTTATATTTGCAATATTTTTTAAAAAACGTTAATCTTTAATGAAGCTATGTAGCTTCATACCATAGCTTATTTCACTTTTCGTGATATATTAGGGGGACTGAAAAGTATTCAAAATTTCTTCGATGAGCTCATTCATAGTTTGTGTCGAGACACGGTCCCACAAACACGTAAATTTTATTATTACGATTAAGCTTGGTTGTAAATTTTATTTTTCGGTCAACAAATTTTTGTTCTACTAAGGAGAAAAAATGTCAAACCCAATAATATAAGAGTCACACTTACGATAACACGAGCCTCATGCTGCAAAAATAGCACAGGAAAAATAAGGAAACTTGGGTTTGAACTTTTACTTCATCCACCATATTCTGGGCTAATGACCATGGCAGTCGATGCCCATAACATTAATCATCATCATCATCATCCACCATATTCACACTAGATCTCGCACCGTCGAATTATCATCTTTTCAGATGGTTAGTTTACCAATGTTAGAGAAGTAAAAATGTGCTTGGAAAAGTGTTCAAATGAAAAATCGAAGAACTTTTTTAAAAAGGGAATCGAACAATTGCCTTTATGCTGGCAAAAAGTGTTAGAAAATGATGGAAATTATTTCGTTGATTAGTATTTAAGATTTCTTTTATAAATAAATGTTTTTCGCCAGCAAACAAGATTTTACCTGTTTTTCGGTCCCCCTAATATATTGATTCTTTGAAACATTCTGCATAAAAGAAATATAGAAGTATGATATTAAAAAATCAATTCCTAAGATATTTCAAACTTTTACATGAAATATCTAATTATATTTAAAATATTTTACAAACTATTAATTTTTGTAACATTATACTATAATACTTTTTTACAAAAATGTTCTGAAGAACTATAAAATAACTTTTCTAAAAGAAATTTTTTTTTATGAGTATTTAAAAATCGGATAATATTGAAGTGTCCTGGTGGAGGGAAAAGACCTTCGAATACCAAATGGTACCTACAGTAGCCTATTGGTTTCAGAAATATTAATTAAAAACTGTCTTTTTAGTATACGAGATAAAATAATTTCAATGTTGTGGAAGTAATACAAAATAATGTATTTTATAGATAGGGTCACCTTGTAATTCGGTGACCTCTGCATCGGTAATTAGTATAGCGGCGATGGTTGTATTAGTTATGTCTCTACAAGCAAAATTTAATTAATATGTCAGAAACTAATAAAATACGGCACATACTGCTTGATATTTAAGGTGTCCCTACTTTCATTTCTCACGTATCCAAAGCACATGTCGATCGAACATCGGGATACCTCGATTTTATGTACAAATTTTTATTTCGTTGTTTTACAAGTAATGATATTTGATAAATTTATAACCTTATGATATAAGGAAATGAAATGTAATGCATAAGTTTAAGTAATTTTGTATTTATTAATCTATTTATTTTTTGTTTATAAAAAATAGACTACATCAGCTTCATCTGTAATCTACAGTTTGGTAAAACGCTGAGGAGTAAAACATCTGCACTAGTTATAGCTACTTCCCTTCGTTTAAACAACTTTAATTCGTGTACCTTGGAAAATATGACTTATACAGACTTTTCGGCTTCGGTTGAGTTGTTGTCTCTACATAAATGGTGCACTTTAGATAAATTTATTGAATTTATACGAATAATTCAAGAAGCAACTCCTGCAGACTACCAGAGATGGCGAAATGTAAAAGTTCCTTTGTTTACTATGTTGCATAATATCGCTCCGTTTACACGTAAAATTCGATTTCCGAACAAATTTTATGTGTGTATATCACATTCTAGTATTAGAGTATGGTTCGAGAAGATATTGCAATTGTTGACAACACTTGACGCATCCTATGAAGATCGTAATATTTGTATTAAATATAAGCGTTTATGTGACACTGCCGCATCTAATCTGGCAAACATTTGTTATTGTCTAGATCCGACAACTCTTGCCAAGAATGGTATTTACAACCAGGAGACTTTTGAAAGTATATTCCGTTTAACTTGGCAGTGAATTTATTTATAGACTGCTCTTGCTTTGTAAAAAAATTATAAATAATTTGTGTGCTTTGGCACAATTCACAAGACTACTTGTACTAACAAAATGATTATAGCTCTACTTCGGATTTATTACATATACTTTAAATCTTTGTAGCTTTTATTTCAAAAAGGGTATCCTCTATCAATTTATTTTTTGTAGAAATACAATTATAAAATATTTTTAAAAAATTATTAGGTTACTTCACACATAATGTACATATTAATAACTGTAATTAAAGTCAAAATTGTAGAAATAGTTTCCAATATCTTTCCGACACTCATTTCACTTTATTGCCCTTACCATGGCACTCTTTACACATTCATACTGCAAATTAAGTTATGTAACTTTTGTTATTCAAATTTACACATTTTATATAATTTATATTTATACAGCATAATTAATTAATTATATACAATTTAAACTACTAATAAGGCGGCGGTTGATGTTGATAATGTTGCGGTGGTTGGCTTAAATGCCGTTGTAAATGTGTCACTAATTGAGGAGTTGGTTGTTGCCCACCCGCATTGCCTTGCTGCTGCTGTTGTTGCTGTTGCACTTGTTGCTGCTGCTGTGCTTGCTGTTGTTGTTGTTGCATTGCAAGCATTTGTTGTCTTATCCGCTGTTGATTTATTGCCTGCTGCTGCAATTAAAATAATTACAATTATTCAAAATGTATGTAATTGCAAAATATACAAAACGATACAGTTTTATGTAACAGTAGAAATTAAATAAAGAAAGCTTTTATAAGTTTTGAAGTTTATTTGAAGAATTTACTTATTTTATATTAAAATACACTTATTTAAATACTTAGTAATATCATTAAATAATGTAAAGAACATATAAAATTTAAAAAAATAGTAATCTAATAAACTTACTTGTTGAAACTGTTGATTTTGTTGCAAACCAACGCTGGCAGTACCTACTCCTGTCACTCCAACTGTACCAGGTTTTCCACTAGTTTGTCTATAAGGTGGTGCTGGTTGATTTTGAACACCACCTGCCATTGGACCCATTGTATTCATAGTGACATTCGGAGCCTGAAAATATGAAGAAATAAATAATAGTTTTCTCGGTAACCTTTCTATTGGAATAAAATTGTCTGTGGTCGTTTCATTTTTTTCATTAGAATAGTACTTGAAGGTATGGCGGTCTTGTGGCTCCAGGCTGTAAACGTTGCGGAATATATTCTTGTCCTCTCTGAGGTCCCATTATTTGTTGTTGATTGGGGAACATCATGTTCTGCTGCTGATTCATTAAACCTTGCTGCTGTTGCTGCTGTTGTAATAACTGTTGTTGTTGTTGCGCTTGTTGAGGTGCCTGTTGCTGCTGCTGCTGCTGCTGTTGCTGTGGTATCATTTGTTGGCCTCCATATCCTGCATAATTTTGATTCATACCTACCAAAAAATATCGTAAAATTATGAGTAATAAATATTGAAATATATTAAGAATAATAATTACCTTGTTGCATTCCAGTATAAATTCCTTGTTGTTGCGCTTGTTGTTGTTGCTGTTGTTGTGAAGCAAACATTCCTTGCTGTGGGTTGATGTTTGGAGCTCCATGCTGAGCTCTTAACTGTTGTCTAATAAACTGTTGTCTTTGCATACCTTGGAATGCTCCTGGTCCACCAACAGGCGCAGCATTCGGTTGTTGTTGAGAGCTTATTAATTGATTGGATGGCAATCGTAAACGTAACATATGAGAAAGTGCCTGTTTTGACTGATTGTTCATGCCAGGTCTATCATATCTTGGTCCAACTGGAGTTGGTGGTAACTGCTGACCATATCCGTATTGCTGTGCTGGTGTGTGAGTTTGTTGGTTAGCGTACCACGGTTGCTGATGCTGTGGTGGTTGACCAGTAAACATTCCAGGCTGTTGTGAGACAGGTACTTGTTGATTTCCGAATGCTATTTGTTGCAACTGATTGGTTGGTTGCTATATAACACACAAATAATAATAAGAAAATGAATACATGTATTTAATAAACTTTAAATTTAATAAAATAAAGTAAACCTGAATTTGCTGTGTTACAGGCGTAGTAGGTGTAGCTGCACCTTTATTTTTTCTATGTCTTCGAGATTTCATACCCTTGCCTTTACCATTAGTTACAGCAGTACCAATTATGTTACCACCAACGCTATTTGCCACTCTTCCAGGAGAATCAATACTCATTGGAGTATCAGCTTTTCCAGGTTCAGATTCCTTTTTATCCGGCTCTAAATCTTCTGCAGGTAATGGTGGTGGATCTAAATAGTGGCTGGGTGGTCTAATTTGACTATGGGTATGATATCGTAACAGCTTATGCGCATTTTGGTATGTAAGAGGTTTACGTTCTAATCTAACTGCTCTGAACCAAGCCCAAGATATTGGTGCTGGATTTTTATGACCTTCCAATACTTCCCAAGCTGATACTCTTTGAGAATCACATACTTGCAAACCCTAATAAATTGATTTTTATATCACAAAACTTTTAATTTTATTATATTTCAATTTCATTCAGTTTAAGTATACAATATTTCTCAAATATTCTAATTTACCTGTTTTTTATCGATGCTATCAAAACCAGCTATCTTATTGCCTTTTGTATCTGTTAGACATCCAACTGGTTCACATGTAATGACTTCCATCGTCAATTTCGGTAAAGGTAATAATTGTCTAACATATCTAATACTCGGAGAATTTCTATCTCCAAGCTCTTTCTTTAATTTTTTCATTAAGTTTTGATAATGTTTTTTATTTTCATCTTTTTCAGATTGTGAATCAGAAACTAGGGTAGAATGTATTAGAGTTGCTAACATATCTATGACAGTGGTGAATAATTCAAAATTATTATTCAAATCTATAACACCATAGCTAACCAACTGAACTAACAGAATAGCCCAATCAGTGGTAGCAGTTGTATTCCTTTGTATGGTATCGAAAACACCACCAACAAGACTAAATCTTAATTGTAATGCATCTTGCAACACTTCTCTCGATTTAGGATCTTCAGTAGCGAAGTTTTTCTCTTCTTTACTGATATTCAAAAACTGCGATAGCTGCGAATGTAATGACATCAGCAAACCTTCCCTTTGATCATCTTGGCCTTTAAGACAAGTGAGTACTAGTGAGAGAAACGGCTGATGATTAAAGAGCGACGGTGATTTTGATCTGCTTCTTTCGCGACCGGCTGTTGTTTTCGACCAGTTACCAGATTCTAGAACTTGACCTGCTACTTTAAGAACTCGACCTTGCACCGCACTTGGTAATTTTGAAACAAGCGGCGCAACCAACCATATCGATCCAGATCGTTTGTCTGATTTACTCGACATAGTATTTAGCTGGAAAACGTCGATTGCAGCTTTAGCGACAGTATCTAACCATTGCGATAGGTCGCTTGATCCTGGGGGAAATTGTTTGTACATAAGTTGTAAGTCGAGCCACGACATTCTTAAACTCCATTGTTCTAGATTCTCCAAGATATTTGTTATGTGAGTTTTTTGGTCAATAAATGCGTCTATGGATGTCTCTGGGTAACAGATCATGTGGAGCAATCGTTGAGCTTGACGAGGTGTTAACATATTATCAAGCAACATGTCAGGATGGCAAAGTTCCTCTGGATTTTGTAAACACCTTTCTAATACCCATTCTTGGCTACAAATTTGTCTTAAAACATGTTGTGCGAAATCTGATAATCCTTTAACATTTTCGGTAGTCATTCCAGCACTACTATTAGACGAAGACATTGCTAGATCAAGTCCTAAGTCATCGCCACCTCCCAAAATATCACTTGTACCTAAGATATGACTGATCGATAATTCACTTGATCCACCAGTATTCACACCTACACCAACGCCAACACTAGCTGGTCCACCTGCTTTACTAGAATGATTCATTGGTACATCCGGTTTCTTTGGTGGTTGTTTACCAGCAGTTGCATCAGCAACAACGAGTATAGCTTTAAGTACTGCTAGCACTGGACCAACCCTGATGTTGTTATGAGCAGCTGCCAGTAAGTGTCTATCACAACTTAATTTTATGCTGTAACCCCTAGAGTTCCCATTTGGTAAGGGGTGAGGGCTTGTACTCACGGAATACAAAGCCGGTTGAGGACATTCGACTGTTTTAAACAGACGTAAAAGCAAGTGGCATGTTAAACGTGCCCCAGCTTCAGCTTCCATATCTGCATCTCCACGACCTTCATTGCAAGCTTTAACTAAGGATGGCAGTGCTATATGCACAACAAAATCTTCTAAAGAAAAACAATGTCTTGCTGTAAAAATAAAATACTATTATAACAACACATTTTCTTCTTACTGTGGTATTCGCACTGCTTTCATTAAATGGAATTTAATTATAAGATAAAATTGTTATCAAATATAAAATATTTACCAATTAAAATTGACGTGAATACGGCTAGAGAATTATGTATACTCAAATCTTGCACATCTACTTGATTTAGAACGTCAATATAAAATGCAGAACTACTCGAAGAACAACATAGTGCCATAAGGACCCCTAGCCACTCAGCATTAAGAGCATTGCAGCAAGCTGTTAATTCTGCGCATGTTATCGCAATATCATTTAATTTGTCATTATCTGTTTCACTACAAACTGCGACAATCGCATTGCAAACAAAACTATAACGATTCGCCGGTGTCTCGTTTAATTGTCTAGCCCATTGTGGTTCGATTTTTCCTCCGCGCCTTGGGCTAGTAAAAACATCCACCATAAATTGTGAATTATATACATGACTCGATGTAGTCGGTTGTAACGTACTGTAAAGAGCTGTTCGAATTTTAGGGTAAGCATTACTAAATGCTTCTACTCCGTGTGGTTTTGTTTTTAACAAAGAACAAGACGAGTATAAATCATATAGATGCGCTAATACGCATCGTTCGGCAGAACTGCAATCGCTAGGATTTGATACGTGTTTTACGACTTTACAAAGTAAATCAAATACTGCCGTTGTTTGCTCAGGAGACACTAAAAAAATAAATTAAACTCGCTTATTATTTATAATTCTTTTAAAATTTTTGTTATTACTTGGATTTTACTTGACAATACTTACACAATAAACAACAATGATATCTTCTTAATACCCCTACAACATATAGACTTAAACTGGTAGTATAACTTCTAACCAGTTGACTATTTCTAACTGTTAACTGTGCTTCTACTTCTGGTAATTCTTTTAGTATTTGAATACAAACGTCTATTAAACCATATATATTTACAGCTAGTTCCATTAAATCAAATAAAAAGGCAACGTGTTCTTGTACTGGTAAATAAGATGATCCAGCCAGTGCAAATGTATTTAACATTTCAATAACTTGAGTTGCGCATTGCCATGTTACTACATGCTGATCAAAGTAACTTAAATTTTGGAACTTTAAAGTGATTGCCTCAAAGTTAAATTCACTACGGGAATGTTTTTTAACTTTTCCACCTTCTGCAACGTCGATACTAAATTTTTTTCCAAATAATTTACACACTTCTTTTGTCATTTTTTTAACAATATGTCTAGCCTCGTCTCTAACACGACCTACTCCATAAAGTAGTACATGTCGTTGGTTACAGTCATGCTGACTACATGTTTCATCCTTTAAACATGATGATAAAATATTTATAACATTTTGTCATTTTGTTAAATTTATATATTAAATTTTGACAATTACCTGAGGTAATGGAAAATGAGTTGTATATAATAAGTGTCTACTATGGCTCGATGGTATTTTAGAATCTAATCCTTCTTGAGTTCCATGTCCAGCTAGTGCATCTTCTTTTGGACTATCAGGGGCATCCATACTATTTTGTTGATCTTCTTTAATGTGTTGTAACAACTTGTCCAAGTCATCGTCAATTTTACTATCATCGTAATCCATTGTTCGTCCGTGATCTGTTACTTCCAATTTGGTTGGTTTTAAATCTATTCCTGGAAATAGGCTGTCTTCATCAATTGATTCTCGATTATTTGGAGTTCCTGGTTTGCTAGCCACAGGACCTAAATAATAAAAAATAGAACTCAGAACCTCTTAGATAAATATTGCAGTCATAGAAATTAAACATTACAATAGAACTTTATTATTTTTCAGCCTCATAGTCATGAAAAAGTAGGAATCAACATTAATATACTATACCTTGTATAAGGTCTCCTCTGGAAATAAGTGTGCACATGTATGCATCATGTGAAAACACGTCATGCCTAATTAATTCTGAAAATAAGTGAACCAAATTCGTAAACTGAACTTTTGATTGGGCAGGTGTATTATCTAGTACCGGCGCATCCATGTCCAAAAACTTCATAAGTAATGGTTGAAAAATTGGAAGTACAGGTGGACTTCCGTTACTACAAATGCTATCTTTATCATCATTATCGTTTGTTTCTCCAGTAACTTCGCTTTGTCTTTTCTCAAGTAATTTCGCAACTGCCATCGCTCTATGTTCTCCCCATCGTTCAGCACTTACAGCCCATTCACACAGTATTTCAACTACAGCCGAATCTTGTTGTGGATTATATTCCGGCTTTGTATCTCGTTCATTGGCAGTATCTTTCGGTGGCGATGTAAATATTTTGGCATATAAAGTATCTAATGAATTGGTAGAATCCATTCTGTCGAAACTATGACGGTCTAATGCATCTAACGCAGCTAAAACTTTAGTTGTTGTTATTCCAGCACTACTTTGCTGCCATTTATCACATGACCATTTCCCTTCAGCAGCTTGAGATCTTGCCCGAATATTCTCTTGAGCAATTTTTAACTGTTTTAGTGTAGGATTAGTTGCAGTTGCTGGTGGAGATGGTAAAGTTGTTGGAGGACATGGTAAATAATCCAATGGAGAACCATTTAACACAGATGGAGCTTTTCCTTCGCCGACACTATTCCATACTAATGCTGTTGGACATTCCAAAGTAATAACCTAAACAATAACCAATTTGTTTATGTATTATGTAAATAAAACTATTATAAATATATGCAATAAAGACTTATTACCTGTATTATTGTTGATAAACTGTAAATAACATCTCTGTGATGTGGACATGACAAATAGTCATTAAAAGCAGTAGTTAATGGATTTTGCATATGACTAGCAGTGGCAGTGTCTTTTCCACCATTAACTTCGCTTTTAATTATGGACGGACTTTGTGGATTGCCATTAGTTTCTATATTACTACACATATGTGCCAATTTACGACAACACAGATATGCTAAACGTCTGGCTAATAATTCAGACTGCACAAATTCTTCTAAATATTGCAGTGCTAATGGTAACAGAAGTTTTAAAATACCATCCTCTAAAGGAGAAGATTTAATTTTGTCTAATAATTCTAAAATCCATTGTAATAATTCTTGTCTATCTAGTAATCCCTCTTCAAACATATACTTTGCCAATTGTACACAATAATGCCACTGTTTCAATGCTAATTTATGTTCCTCATTCATGACATTTCCTACTGTCACTTGATTACTTGAATTTGGCGTAGCTGGCTGATTATTAGCAACTCCATTATTATTATTAGTGCTATTATTAACATTATTGTTACTGTTATTGTTGCTATTGTTGTTTCCAGTACCATTGGTATTACAGGAACTATTTGTGATACCATTGTTGCTAATGCTATTTGTCACATAATTATTTATATAATAATATTCTTGTAGCTTTGAAAGTTGATCTTTCAAAAACTTTATAAGAGTTCCTGTCCACTCTGAATAAAGAAAAAAAAAAATTAATTAAGACTATTATACATACATGTTTACACTTTAACTATGATATTAATTATAAGTTTGATTTGAAAATAATAAAAAGATCTAAATATTTACTTCCAATCTAGTTTTTAACAACACTATTTTTATAAATCAAAATTGTACTTGTTAATGTACATGCTGCATATATGTATAAAATTAAATCAACCAAGAAATTATTATTCTGAATATTTCAGTCGTATTATTATAAAAAGAATTAAAAATTTTGTAAATCATTGCTAATCAAATTTATTTCTTAATAAAAGATCTTATATAACTTCTTATACAAAAAGTCAGCAATAATATTTTACATCATTAATTTATATAAAGTAATACCTTATACTGAAATTTAAGTCTTATAGATATAACATAAAATTTTTAACATTTCTCATTTCAAAATTTATAATAAACTACAAATTATGAAATTCTATAATTAGTTACCTGTAGTTGGATCAGGTAGTTGCCTCTTTTTTATTTTGGCTTCAGAAACTGCTACTGTATAAGCAGAACTTAGTTTAATAAACCATGCAGCTCTAAGCATTGGTACTTGGTATTCGCAAAGCATCATAAATATTTCTTCTTTCTTATTAAAATTAGGAGCCTTTTTTGCAAGAGCTATTAATGGTTTGCAACCAGATAGATCCTTAAACCATGCCTCAATACCATTTTTTGTTCTTGCAGTTACTGGCCAGAAATTATCTTTTGGGTTGATCTGTTGTCGCTTCCTTCCTGTGTCCGGCATGGTAGAAAGCTCTTCCTTCTTCGCAAGAATTGCATTGAAATATGCTCCCACCTTAGCAGCAGTGACATTACAATGTCTTGCAGTTCCAAACTCATCTGATAACTGAGGCATTGTAGCAAAGCCATGTTTGACATTTATGGAACTGAGTTCGTCTTCTTTCTGTTTAGGTTCTTGAGGATAAACATCAGGCGGCCCTAATCTAGGCCGTTTTAGTGGCCGTTTCTCATACAATATTCCCATCATGGTATAAGGAAATAATCAGAATTAGCAATTGGATATTGACATCATTTAAATAAATAATAAAGAAAAAAACACTTCGTGATTTATAAACTCATTTTTAAGACTGCTGACGAGATATAACCTGCGTTAATGACATATTTACAATTACCCAACACCGTAAACGGTAACGCAACGACGGAATCACTGTACGTACAAAGCCTTCCAGGTGGCGCGTTATGTTGGAAACCCGAAGCAAAGAGTAGGTACTCTTTGCCTGAAGTGTATAGACCTAAAAGCGTGAAGTGCTCAGGTAACTATATGTAAAACTGTTGTATTTATATAGTTATTTTAATAAATTGATATAAACCAAATAAGTAATAATATATCTCAACATTCTAGCAACGTTAATACTAGTATTGCTGTAAGACTCGTTAATAATTCAAGAATTTCTTTATATTTGTCTACAATTAAAATTCTGGTACAAATAAGATATATGTAACAATGTAAATTATCTTTACATTTGATTTTTTGTTTAATTTTAGTAAATATAAATATTATTTGTTTCTAGTGAATATTTTAAATTGTCTAATAGTACCAACTAAAAGGAGCTTTTCTCTGTTTAGCGAAAGAACAACTTATACGATCAGTTTTCATTCGTTGTGCGCATGTCAGCTTTGATTGGATGCAGCATGCTTCGTAACCAACAGCAACGCGCATGCGCTATTTCGATGCCCTGACGCTCGTACATATAATACATACATAATACCAATGGTAATCGTGTATAATATACACTGTATATAGTCACTTGAAGTTAGTCACGTTATATTTTATTCAGTGTAAGAAACGTATAAAATGAATTTTCGTTGATGTTACATAAATCTACTTTGATTGGTTGTACGTGTTCCGTAATTAAAAGTTATGCGCATGCGGTAATAACGTCGAATAGTTCGAAGCGTATATATCTAGTGAACGGACAGTTCAGAGAATTATTACTTTGCGACAAACATTTTATGTACAAATATATCTCCCACACTTTGACATAAAATATTTTAATAGGTATTGATTTTTCAAAAAAATTACATCTTAAAATTTGTTTAGAACAATTTTTCAATCGGTTAAGCTACTTAACACGATATTTCGAAATCTACGGTGAGTTACCGTTGCGATTCTGAATTATATTTGAAGCACACAGTATGGAGAGTAAATTTTGTTCATTTCGTATACTTTCTTGTATTTGTTTTATTGTATATACCTGTGTTTTATATATCTTATTATGTACACTTTAAAAATTATTCTGATTTTACTATACATGCATTATTACTGTTCACCATGTATATGACCACGAAGTAAAAAGCGACCATAAAGAAGTATCAACTAAATTCGTGAATTACTACATTGTTTGCTAAATAAAGTATATATATGTATGTATACATAGTCCTAAATAACAGTAAAAAAAAATAAAATATATCGTAAGTATAAAAGTACAGTAAAGATAGTACTATGTTTTATTTTGATATAAATAATATAATAATTTTTGTGTATATATGCTCCGTTTCGTAAAAAAACAGCTCGATAGTCAAAAGAGATATATTATTGTGTGTGATGTTTTTCTACCGCTTATTTCTATCTTTGTGATAGGATATGCTGTGTAAAAACATGAACGTATAGCGGGAATCAGTGATGATATAATAAGTTTGCAGAATGAAAGAAATATTGTACTTAATGTTTTCAATATATTTGTAAAATATAACGGTGGATTAACAATTGAACAATTTCTGCTAAATATACACAAACGAATCTTATTGTTATTAATGAAAATTAGATATTATGAATCTTTCTGCTTGTGATGTACTTTGACATTAATTATAAGAGCGCGTGCGCATTATCAAGGATTACAAAATATATAGAGCAGAATAGAGTTAACAAATGTACAGATACTCCTTTATGGAATGAAATATAATTTTCCTTTTCTTCTTATAAAATTTATTATATTTATTTCTACGTAAGATATATCTAAATAAATGTAATTATTTTCTGATATTTTATTGTTTCTTTAAAATAACTTTAATCCGCATATATATAATTTGTATATAGTTAGGTAGTTAGAAGTCGTTCGAATAGTTTGGTATGCATGCATTTAGTAAAGTCCCTAGATATTAATCATGGTTACTCGTAAATAGAATTGTAAGAATTATTAGTTATTTGAAGTATCTTGTATTCATACTTCGTTTTGATTCAACATCTTAAATGTTTTAATGAAGGAAATGAATTAAATGTTTAGATTTGAATTAAAGGAAAATGTTAAAGATTTGTGTTTAACATTTTTAAACACTAACATGTGTCGTGACTCCTAGAAGTGTTTGTCTACTTGTTATGCCGACAAAAGTTGAATTATTTTCTTTACTACACAGTTAAATAACAGATGCAAAATATTTCATAATTATCTAATCTTGTATATATATTGTGACCATACAATACAAAATGTGTGTTATTAATGGTTCAAGTAAAAGTAAAATTTGGTAAGAATATGAATTAAAAGGAATAAAGTAAGTATTGAATGGGAATTAATATTTTATTATTTATTTCTAAGATTTAACAATTAATGTTAGTGCTAAAATATTATTTTATTCAACTTTTCTAATAATTATTGTTATAATGCTGTTTTGCTGAAAATATATAATCATAATAACTTTTTTCATTATTTTGACATATTCGATGAGAATTATATTGATGAAGACAGTATTTATAATTTTCTAGTATTTTTTTATTTTATTTATCATGCTTTAATTTGACGTTGTATTAAAATTAAATTATTTTTAACAGCTAATCTTCTTACATTATTTTTTAGTTTTTCAAATTAGATTATTAAAATAAACATATGGTTTTTATCATAGTAGTTTTACAATGTAAACAATTAATCTTAGTTGTTGATACATATACTTATGATAATATGTCATTAAATCATTGAACTGTTAATAATATACATTATATATTATACTTTTAAAAAATAAGCATAGTTGAGATAATAATATAATTTAAATTATATAAAGTAATTCAATTTCCATCCATAACTTCAATGGGCTAATGTTTCTGGAAGTCACTATACACATGTTGGAAACTTTTCACAACAAGCGATTAGTTTAATAGCTTATTATTTTTAATGGTAACAGAAATTTCAGAGAACTGATTGACGTATTTTGTACGTTCTACTTTAATTTAATTTTTTCATTAAGACAAAATAACAGACATGGATAAAGATGAAATTATCTGTATTTCATCGGATGATGATGAAAAAATAGAACAGGTTTGCGCATTGCAAATATCACAAGTATTACTACTTAAATTAAAGCAAGTTCAAAAAGTTGTGAATTCTTTATTGTTTCAGAACAAAGCTAATAATAAAGAAACATCGGTAATCAAACAGTTAAAGGACAGTTCTATAAAAATGGAACCATCCTTAAGTCAAAATGAAAGTGTAGAAACTGCTAGGAAGAAAAGAAAAATTTCTGAAGTAATCAGTGAAAATAATACTTGTTCTAAAAACAAAACAAAAGTGGTTGTGTGCGAAAAAAACAGTATTCCTATATGTGACCCAACAAACAGTTCTGACGAACTACCAACTGTACAGAAAAATGATGAAGATAAAACATTATTAAAACCAAAGTTAGTTGTAAAAGAGAAAAAAACTATTTTCTTAGTTGAACAGGATATATTTCCTATGTTCATAAGTTTATGTTTGCAAAAAGATCATTCTGAGGATATGAAAACTGTTGTTAATAAATTGAAAAGGCGTTATGAGCAATTGGATCCTTCATATGCTAATTCTGAAACTTTTGCCAATTTTTTAAATGAAAAGAGAAATGACATTATGCTTAGCAAAAACAAGTTATACATACATATTGCTGAGGTAATGAATGAAATGAAAAATAACCGTAAAGAAAATTCATTAACATCATTAAATGGCTTAGAATGTGCTGTTAATACTGATGAGTTGAGTGTAGATAAAAATTCAACTAATTCATTGTGTTCAGATATGACATCTACCAATAACACTGTAGCTAAAGATAGTGAAAAAAAATCAGTTGTTGATAATAAACAAGAAAAACATGATGGTTCACAAAGAAAAATTAGATTAATATTAAAAGCAATGAGAAAATGTGAAAAGTATATTAAAAGATTAGAAGAATCGGAAGTAGATTTTGACAATGAAAATAACAGCAACTATATTAAATTAGAGAAGTTTAAACATCGAATGGTGGAACTTTATAATAAATATTGTGAATATGTTGGAGAAAGTACTGATGCAGGACGACAGTACTTACGGCCAAAGCACTTTAATACAACTGGAATTGTTTTTGTAGATCAAGCTATCACAAGTTTTATTAATTCTAAACTATCCAAGAGAAATAAATTAAAGAAAATCGGTGCTTTTACAAATGCATTAATTTTCCCGGATTATAGAGATATTTTAGAATGTGTTATAAAGTGCAATGAATTACATAATTTAGGTTTGGATAATAAAAAACAGCAACAGATTGGTAAGTTATTAAATTTATAACTAAAACTTATGTACAATTGTAATTTCACTGTTTATATATAATATTTGTTATAGCAAAAAAAGCATTCACTGAATTGGGGGAATATTTACAACGCTGCCGGCGTAATGATTATTGGGATACATTTTCCCTGTCTCTTGAAAACAAAGAAGATGATCCTGCTTTAAAGGATTCACAGTTAGCTGAAAAACTGAGGCAGAATAAACAAGAGGGTGAAAAGAGATTGGCAAATGTATTTCAGGAGTATGCGAAGAAACAAGAAGAGATGAAGGAGCAACCTTATACCACTGGGACATCAACAGAAAACGAAGAAAATGAAGAGGATTACACAGAGAATGAAGATGAAGAAATTGATAATGAAATCGATAACATTAATGAGGATGGTGCAAGTGTGAGTGCCACTGAAAATAAAGGTAGTACAGATGAGGATGAAAATGGTACAGATGGAAGTGAAACACCTGTAAGTAAAATGGATATTAATATTAAATCTAGTGTAAATGATGTTCAGTCTGCTATAGAAATAAAAGAAAAACACCAAACAGAGACTAATAACAAATTAAAAAACGTTGTTAACGATTTAAAATTAAAAGGAGTTGATAGTGATGTAAATATTTCTAAATCAGAACACACACAGTTAATAAAAAAAAACGAAACAACATTGTTGCCTGATACAGTGCCACGTGATTTAAATACTTCTCCTAGTGTAATATCATTAACTACATCGGAAAATAAAATTCTTATTGAGAAAACAAAAGGTTAGTGTACAAATGTACTATTAATAAAGAAGAATTAATCATCAAAGAATGAATAGAGGAATTTAAAGTTTATTATATCTGTGTGTTGTAGAGGATGAATCTGATATTATAAGTGAAAAATTAATAAATGAACAGCCATTGGAGGAGGAAAAACCATTGTTGCGAGTACGCTCTTTTGCTAAGCTTCCTGGGACATGGAAAGATATTCAAGAAAAAGTAGGACAAGTAGAGAAAAATAATGATATTATAGATCTTACTCAAGAATCATCAAAACAAAATTCGACTGCTCATCAGCAAGCAAGTATTCAAAGTAAAAATAAGGTACTTCCTAATGTGAAAGATAAACGCAAAATGTTGGTAATACCAACAGGTAAAAATATAATTAAAGTAAAAAACATTACAAACAATTATGTGAGAATGGGTTCTAAAGACTCGGTGGATTTAAGTAATACAGCAAAATTACAACGTGAAATCGTGACATCTTCCTACCAAATGGTAGATAATAGTGGAGGTTCCACAACTATCCGACTACCATCTAATCAACATTTTGATCAGAAAACTAATGATAATGATCAAGTAAAAAGTTCACAAACAAAAAAGAACAATATTATTGTACAAGTACCTCAGTCTGCTCAAATTGTATTATTACTTGCAAAACAAAAAGAAAAATCTTTGCAACAGTCAAAAACAGACGTATCTATGTCTCAATCTAAATGACAGAAACAAAAGCTGGAAGTGATTCATCTTGATCATTGTTATGTAAAGTTATTAGAAAATGACAGATGACCACTGAATTGTGACACGTAAATGTAATAATTTTTTTAAAAAGACCATTTGTAATTACCAATACTGTATTAGAATATTAGCTATATTACATTGAATAAATTTTTTTATAAACAAAGACGTATGTATGGTTTTTATATGTTAAATATTTTCACTGTACTTTTTAATATTTTTTTTTTAACATTCAGTGTGTTATTGACATAACACTTGTACAATTTCTTTTTATCATGAATTATAAAATATAGAATTCAGTATCACTTTTGTTAAAATAAATTCTTCATCTGTAAAATTTTCAACGATATTAAAGTGATCGATATTATCTCGAAGTAAAATATATTGAACGTTGTCCACTACTGTAATAAGTTTCTATAATAAAAATAAAAATTATAAATTTTTGTCTGCAGAATATCATCTAGAATACGTTAGAAATCATTATTTATTTGTTTAAGGTAGTACTTGAACACATTCTCGTGATTCATTAATGAATCCCGGTGATTCACATTCTCCAACAGTTACAATAACTTTTAATCCTTGAATTGGCTTATTGTTTTTGATATCTAAAGTAGTCAAACTGTATGCCTTGATTTCGTCTCTAAAACGTGCAGAGTAGATTACGATTTAAAAATGCGAATAATTCTAAAAGTTTCTCATTACTTACTTTGTTAGTTTCAAATTGTTAATAATAGTAGTATTAACCAGCTGGTTTAAATTATATATCCCGCTTATTAATACAATGCCTTTTAATAAGCTTAAACATCCTTTTTCTGCCATTTTTTCCATCCATAATTGATCAAACAAAAGACTTGAAGCTAAATGTGCACCAGCACTATGACCAGAAATCCAAACACCCCTGTACAAATGTATTTATTTTTATTATAATATTATAAATTAATTTAATCCTTATACAGGGTGAATTCTACATAATTTTGCTGTAATTTTGTATTTTATCTTAATAAAATCTAAAGATTGGTTTATAAAGATAGTGCAATAAAGAGCCATTATTTTTAATTAAAAATGTACTAAATCTCTATTAAATATTAATATCTAGTAACAACGGTAGCAAAGTATAATATAATCATTGACAAACTACATAGGAAATGTGCATATCAATAATTAAGTCATAATAATTTTATATTCGTTTGATAAACGAAAACTTTAACAAATGTTGAAAAACACGACTTATTGTTTTTATAAATATTTAAAAGAATAAATACATATTTGAGAAAATAATAAACGCGTAATATTTATGAATCCTTACTAAAATTGTATTCTCCTTTTGGCTAGTACCTAAATTAATAAAACTTATTCTATGCAAATGTTATATTATACGTATGGCGTAATGTAATTATATGGTTCGTACCGACTACCAAGACTGAAAGCGAATTTCAATATTTGTTCCACTGCCATTTTTATTTGTGACATTATATCCTCAAAATTAACTGAAATAAAGAAAGAAAATAAATTAAAGTATTTAAATTGATATTTGGAAGTAAATAAAAAAGAAGATGAAATAAATTTCACCGTGGGGACATAAATCATAACCGATAGTAACAACTTTGACCCCTTTGCGAGTAAAAACAGGAGCCGCAAATGCAGCTGTGTCTTTGCTGCCTTCTTGCCAATAACCTCCATGAATAAATACAAATAATGGAGCGTCTGAAATAAAAAAGTAATAAATTTACCAAATTAATGATAATTATTTATATTTTTATACCTTTTGGTAAATCGGTGCCAAATATATCATATTTAGTTCGATCTGTTGTTCCATATGCAATATCCAGTTCGCATTCCAAATTTTTACGAGAATTTTCAGTTACTGCAATAATAAATCAATTCAAAAGACTGCAAGATAATTGTGCTTCCAAAATTCATTTTTTACCATTTTTAGCCAATTTGTAATGTTGCACCAATATACGCATTTGATCAAATCTTTTGCTCCATTTAGTCGGAGTATAATTAGCTTCATGATCCTAAAAATGACTCCAAATTTTGCAACAACAGTATAAATTAATTACAATAATTGGACAAATTAATTAACGCGAACTTACGGAAATAGACATATTTAATCGTCAAGTATAAGAACGTAAATTAAAAGAAGTATATTTCCACAAGAATCAAGCTATTGCTTTAATAATAAAGATGTTCCCTTCCCTATCGATGCCTCGTTAAAAAAAATGTATTAGTGAAATTTATAGAAAGAGAAAAATCTTTTTTTTTACAGACTGACGACTGCAAACTGTTTTAACAGTAAGTTGTTCTGTGCCGGTTTTGCGAAATGTTAAGTCTACGCTATTTGAAAATACTCGAAAATTGCAGATCGCGCCACTCTTGCTAGTTAGTCTTACTCGTCATCCATGCGCACAAACGACTGATCTTGCTACTCATAAATAAAGATATGTAATCTCCATTACATATAGCAGCGATGGGCAGATTGAGTAACCGTAGTGCGTGAGTACACGGTTTATGTATCGATGAAGTGTGAGATAAATGACTCTTTCGTATTCTATACCTCTAAAAATTCTTTATTTGCGATTTTGAACCACTTAAATTTAAAAATTTGCAGACTGATCATTTAAACATTTTGAAATTTAAAAAGATGTAAAAATGTAGAAATATCCAATTTTGAAATTTGAAATATATAAAATTTAGAAACATAGAATTATTCCAATTTTTATACTCAGAAATGTCGAAATCTAAAGATTTGCAAACTTAAAGATTTAGAAAATTGAAGATTTATAAACATTGGAAATACAGAAATATAAGAATTTCAAATATTCAAATTTTCAAATGTAGATATTTAGAGATGTGAAGATTTAAAAATCTAAAAACTTGATAAATTAAAAATATTGACATTTTGTGGAGACTTGAAAATTCAAAGTTTCAGAGCTTCAGAGTTTTGAAATTTTAGAATTTAAAAAAGAATAAAATCTACAAAATATAGAAGTATATTGGAATTTTCAAATTTAAAAATTTGGTGATAGAGACAATTGGAAATTTATAAAATTTAGAGGTACAAGAACATAAAAATATACAAATTTCAAATTTAGAAATTTAGGATTTTGAGATTTTATTACCAGTGAAAGTTAGAAACTTGTAAATTGAGAAGTTTTGAAATTTGGGAACTTAATAATTTATTAATCTGAAAATCTGGAAATTAGTTTCGAAGTATACAAAGTAAAAATTTTTCTGATCAAGAAATTAAAACCTTTTATACCTGTGAAATTAACTACTCATTGTTGTCTGTGAGCTGTAAGTATATGCAAGTATACAATGAATTAAACTAATAATATTGCTTGATACTTCAGTGAGTTTACATTTGTAACATATCCACATAATATACATTTATCGTATCTGTATTACGTAAATGTGTATATTTTTTATTATCTCCATCAGCTTTATCTTCGGGCGCTACATGGAAGAATTTTTATCTATATTATTAACTTCTACAATTCTATGTGTACAGATTTTTTATAGAATCAGTCTATAGTCTATTTGTAAAAAATATTAAACATCTAAATTCGCTTACTATTGAAAACAGAAAGACATAATTGATGGAAATTAACTCAAGACGTACATTGAGTAACGATTAAAAAATAATGAAATTAGAAAGCACCCAACATATATTTTTTCCTATTTTTAAGCAACGAAAATAATTTTAAATTTTTAATTCAAGCGCGAAACCTTATATTTATAATTAAAAATTCGATTATACTTTGATTAAATTAAAAGTTTGAAAATCCCTTGAATTTTCAAATTCAAACAGTACGTATAATATTTAAATAATACACACAGCACTGTTTAAATATGATTCTTAAACAACATATATGGTACAAAATAATCTAACTAGTCAAAAAGTTACACATTGGGATTTAACAATTAGAAATTGTAAATTGAAGATATAGAAATTTTTATTGAATTATTTTTTGTATGCAACATAAGTAACATATTGTAATCATTTCATTCTCTTCAAGAACATCTTAACAAAATATGGTACAACTTCACAACGAGATATAAAAAACTTAAGGAAAAGGGCAAGTTAAAAGTCAGAAGAGAATAAAAAATGTTTCAGTACATATATCCCTGAATTAAAGTATTACATTTAAATTTTCTCTTATGGCAATAACAGCATATGTGTACAAAAAAAGCATAAGATATTTAATAATAATACTTGCCAAAATTTATCCAGCACGGTGCCTTACGATTCTATCCAAAAATGTCAAGTTAAAAAATAAGAAATTGTAGCCTATAGCGTGTTACAAACAAACGAAGAAATGCAAACGGAATCAACCCAAGTCTCACTACATTCAGCAATAAAAAATTGCACGACATAAATAAAAAAGAACATGTTTTCAGTTTTCTTTGTGGACTGTTTCATGTCAACGTGCTCCGTAGCATTCGCTAGAATTAAGGTGAGAAAATATTTACCAGCATGGTCAATGAATGCGCACGATTAAAGTAAAAGCGAATAAGGCAAAAGTCATATTCGGCATAGCGACGCGAAGGGTGAAATAATGTAGGAAATATGTGTATGCGTTTAAGGATATACACATCCTATAGCGCATTCGCGGAGAAGGTAGAGAGAATAGGGTACGAGGGTCGAAGAGATTGAAAACCAGAAAAACCGGTCTCTCCTTTTGGCCCCACTCTTTCGTAACGTGCACACCATTCTCTGTGGAGGAGTCACAGGTAGGTCCGTAGCAGCTGATGTATCGGGTATCGTGCCACGTCGACGCCTACCCGCAGACCACAGGTAAGAGAAACCTTTTCCAGTCAAAAATTTGTCGGTTGATGGGCTATTTTGTTCAAGAGAGGTGAGTAATGCACAATAAAATGCAAGCAGCAAGATTATTGACTCTACGATCCTGCAGTCGTCGAACCTTGTACCGATATTCACTCGACCAAGAAATGATTACGTTAACCACTTAATTATTTGTATCCCGACATTCCTGCAAGACATTCCTTCAAGAGAAGAACTCGCAATAATTTGACAGATATATCAGCGAAATGACAATAAGTTCATTATGGTAATTCCATAATAATGTTATCAATTTTGAGACTCTTACGAGCCTTTTTCTGCTCTCCTTGATGGCCCTTCTCAGCTTACATGTTTTGTAACCGGTTCTTCGGTGCATACTGGGTTAATTTATTTGACCCACCAACTACTACGCTCATTTCCAATTAGTTTCCACGGCGTTAAGTAGGTATCCTTTTGTATGCATTGTATTCGCTGGAATTCAGGATCACGTTGTTAAATCGTGCTAATAATAGCACAACTCTATTGGTAACCTACAATTTGATACTCTTCCGAGCCATTGTAGAGCGTAGGTGTGAAACGCATCGTTAAAATTACGATGAATGTTTCCTTACGCGTGGACATTTTTTCTCCAACCTATTTAAACTTTCAACAGGTAACCGGTAAGAGAAAGTACGGCCAAAGGGCGACTACTCCTCGAATGTGACGGAAACATCTATTTTTATGAAAGTATTCTGATCTGATAAGTGGCAGGTTATTTGAACTTGGCTCTGCATTAATACAAGCTCCGCGATAAAACATTTTTACTGAATGCTATTCAAGCGGAGCAAGACAGAGAACAAGTTTTCGTTGATTCTCTGAAAGACTGAAGAGGCAACAGATTTTCGTTGGACAACATATTTTCGTTGTCGAACCTGTTTGGTCTTGTCTGCCTATTCTTACCTTGAAATAGCGTGAACGATCGCTGAAAGTATGCATAGCCGCACCGAGAATGTATTTCTTGGGTGAAACATGGGTAAACGTTCATGTTGATCAACAATTTTGATTAAAGTAACTCGAGGATTATGAGTATCACAATGATAAGAGAAATATTTTCATTCAACTTCGTTAATTCCAAATTATATCGAACTGAATTTTATTATCGATTGTAAATACAGAATGAAAAATTAAATCTTTTTTCATTCGTTTTTTTTATAGTTATCACGATTAATATATTGTGAAATATTAAAAAAAAAAGCATTCGATCCTGCCAGGATTCGAACCTGGAATCTTCTGATCCGTAGTCAGACGCGTTATCCGTTGCGCCACAGGACCGTCCTTGATTTAATATTGTATCTACCGGTATAAATGGTCCTAATATAAAATAAATATAATTAAAATAATGTATATAAGGAGGAGATTTCCAAAATGTAAATTTTGAGCCACTCGTTGCAAGCTGATTTTTTATGGATCAGAAAAATAAACATTTTTTAAGTATTAAAGTCACCTTTTTTATTTAATCCCTTTTCTTACGGGAAAGTTATTTAGGAACTTTAGGAAAAGTTATCGGTTATTTTAACTTTAGGAAAAGTTATCGGTTTCGTAAGTGAGACGTGGCCCATAAAAGTTCCAATTTGCTGATTGAAAAATATCAAGTTATATGATTTTTGAAAATATGATATTGAATATGCTAACTTTGAAAAAACTAATGTACAATTTTATTTTAAAAAATGCTCAAAAAATTACTTAAATTCACACGATTGTCAAATATAAAGAATTATAAAACTGTTGACCTACTGTAATTTATTTCACAAGTTTTTTTTATTCGTTGGTTTTGTTTGAAAGAAAATGTTAATAATAAAAATGATTTATTTTTAATGAAATGTTGATGTAACAACATGAATGATTATTTGTACTAAATTCACCGTGAAATTATTTTCATGCACGAAGTGAATATTATTTTGATAAAAGATCTGATATTGTTCGAATGAAACAAAAATCGTAAAGCATCAAGCGTTCAAAGTCGAAGTACATATTATCATGCTCTCAGTTATATATTAATTGACAAGGCAGTATAATCTGGCGTAACAGTAAGCAACAATTGGTAAACGCGTATGGGGTAACAGTATTGATTTTCATGCCTTTTACGCACTTTCCCATGTTCTGGATTCAATGTCTTTTCGAGATCGATCCATTCATTTTCTAACAGCAAAATATCTTGCACAGATTGTAATATCATTAGTTTTTTTATCGATAGTATTAAATTGCGAAGTAAACTCGAACGATGGCGTCAGCACGTACAGCATTGCAGATGTGCAATGATGTGTACGGGTACGTGCTGACAATTTACTTTGCAAACTGATACCATTGTTGGTGAACGGATTGTATTCTTAAATTCGCAGAATTTCAAAGACTACTCGTTACAGAGAAGTGTTAGTTCAATTAGAAATACGATTCATCTGTCGATTTCACATTAAGAGCAATCAATCGAGACATCGGTTTCGAATAGGTTTATAGAAGATAAAATTTGATTGGATAATTATTTTAGTTAAAATTAAGGTACCTAAAGAAGTTGTGTTATCCTCAGACCTATGTATATTGTAACAAAACCATTTACATTAGAATAAAATTAAAGTTTATGAATGAACCTTAGGAGCAATTAACAAATATCAAACAAATAATTTTGGATATATTAAAATATTTTAAACAATCTAGTACGTGTTTCGTTGGTAAATAATAGACACTAATTATTAAGAGGTAACAATTATTTATTAGCGATGATTGTTGTTCACCGCAGTATCGACTTAGATCGGTGTAAAATTTCAACCGCAAAACGATATGTAAAGCTTGGTATTTGTAATACGAAACATATATGTGTCATTTATACAGTATCGCTAACTCTTTCTTGTAATATATTCCGATTATACGTTCTACATACACTGACATACGCTAGTTATAAATGTTTTACTTAATAAAGAAAAACTATTCTGCTATTTGTATCACGCGTATCCTTTTTGCAGAAAACGTACAACTTTTTTATTTCATTTCCCGTATCTACCTCATCAATTTCAATGGCACATCTTTAAAACTGCCAGAGCAATGGTAAATTTTGTAAACCAATGTTAAAAGATTAGTTTAAAATTATATCAATTTTTTTTTATTAAATTTGTAAAAAACGATATAAAAAATTATTGTTTTTCATATAATAAAATGAAGTTTAAACGTGGCCTTGATTATAAAGATGTTTTATTGTTAGGTGACATTTTATTTAAATAAATAATAAAAAATATTTTTAAATATGTTTCTTTCTATATTTCAACATATTATGAAATAAGGGCCTGAGAATAGACTCATTAAAAATGAATTGTATTATGAATTTGTTAAATTCTCAAATTTCCAAACGCCACAATTCATATTTTTAAATTTATAAATTTATAATTTTTGAATTTCTAACTTTATAAGTGCTTAAAAGTTAAAAAGTTTTAAGTATATTAATTTTTCAATTCTCAATGAAGTAAATTTCTCAATTCCCAGTTTTTCAAATTTATAAATTTGTAAAAGCGTAAATTGTTTAGTCCTTCAATTCTCTAATTTACAAATCCCCGAATTCCCAATTTTCTAAACTTTCGAATCTTCTAATTTGCAAATTTATTATCAATAATACAATGTAATTATGAATAAATTTCTATAACCTCGAAATATTGACCATATAATAAATACTGATTGCCTCTTTACAAAGAAAAACATTAAATTTGTAATCAATGTGAAGCAGTTTCGCTGCAACTTCTGTACGTACAAAAAATGACATACATTCAGCGACATAAGACGGAAAGTTGGGAAAGTAGATTACGATTATCGGTAAAGAAGTAAACTATAGTTATCTCATTCCTAGATAGTTGTTCTCTCTGAATACAATTCTGTTCAAACTGTCCCTCAATAAACTCGAATTCCAATCGAGAACAGTTCAACTTTCGTACAAGAAGATGAAAATTTAGAAAAAAAAGGAATTACCCTGAACGTAAATTTACACAATTATAATTGCAAGCAAATATTTTCACCTTTTCTCAAATTTGTGCAACATTGTGCATAAGAGAAACGTGAATGTCTCTCTTTTTTTTCGTCTACGCGTGTGTACCGAACGGCGAGACTTTACTGGAACCGACGTTAACCGAGTTTGATCGAATTCATACGAACAAGCCTAAGTTTCCTGTGATCCAGAGCCGACGCGGCGGTTAAAAGAGGCGAAAAGTGGGGTTAGGTTGTAGTAGAGGGACGAGAAGGAGAGAGAGAACGAGAGAGACGAGTTTTCTCGGGTCGTCAAAGTGGGGATAGAATCTCAGTGTGCAGCAGAAGCAAACATATAGTTCTGCGTCCCCGAGCAGGCCGTGTGGGATCAGCGTTGCCGGACAGAGAAAACGTTTCGTGAAGCGAAAGAGAGAGGAGAAGAATCAGCGTCGAACGAAGGTAGAAAGAGAAGAGAAGAAAAGGGAGCAACAGCTCGTGGAACGGCATGTCCTCGCGTGCTTGTGTCGTACAGCGTTTCTGAACGCAGCCATTACGACAGAACCGCTCTCGGTGACGCTTTGCTGGCGGTGGAGCGGTGCTCACGCGCGCAGTGGTCACGGAACGATCGGAACGAAAAGCACGTGTCTTTTTCGGTGAAAAAGAAATTCGTAGTGAGAAACGGTAACGAGGGAGAGACTAACGATCGTCGTACGAACAAATAATTAAACCGTGTTTCTGTGTGCGTGTACAGAGGCTCAGAGACGCCTCTTGGCGCGCGGCGTCACGTCGCGCGGGCATTAATATCTCCGAGTGTGCCCAATTCAATTAGCAACGTTATTCACGATCTGTAAAAAATCTTCGATCTTTGTGAACGGTACTCTTCGAAGAGGAAACATTAAACCGCAATCATGTTTGACGTATTCGGCTCCGTGAAGGGCTTGTTGAAGCTCGATACCGTGTGCATCGACAACAATGTGTTCCGGCTGCACTACAAAGCGACGGTGATTATATTAATCGCTTTCTCGTTGTTGGTCACGTCGAGACAGTACATAGGAGACCCCATAGATTGTATCGTGGATGAAATACCGCTTCACGTGATGGATACGTACTGCTGGATCTACTCGACGTTTACGATTCCCGACCGAACCGGTGTCGTCGGTAAAGATATCGTGCAACCTGGCGTAGCATCTCACGTTGAGGGTGACGACGAAATAAAGTACCACAAATATTATCAGTGGGTGTGTTTTACTCTCTTCTTCCAAGCGATACTGTTCTACGTACCCCGTTACCTGTGGAAGACTTGGGAGGGTGGCAGGATCAAGATGTTGGTGTTGGATCTTAATTGTCCGGTGATGAGCGAGGAATGTAAAACGGAAAGGAGAAAGTTGCTGGTCGACTATTTTTCCAATAACTTGCATACACAAAATTTTTATGCATTCCGATTTTTCCTCTGCGAGGTGCTGAATTTCATTAATGTGGTCGGCCAAATTTACTTTATGGACTTCTTCTTGGATGGGGAGTTCACCACCTACGGTTCGGATGTGGTGAAATTCACGGAAATGGAACCGGAGGAGAGGATCGACCCCATGTCTCGTGTATTCCCGAAGGTCACCAAATGCACCTTCCACAAATATGGTGCGTCCGGCACGGTGCAGAAGTTCGACGGGCTGTGTGTACTGCCATTGAACATCGTCAATGAGAAGATTTACGTGTTTCTCTGGTTCTGGTTCATCATTCTGTCCGTGTTGAGCGGTTTAACGCTGGCCTATCGTGCCGCGGTCATAGCCGGACCAAAACTTCGTCTAGTGCTGCTGCGTGCTCGATCGCGACTCTCCCCGCAAGAAGACATCGAATTGATCGCGAAAAACTGCCAGATCGGTGACTGGTTCATTCTTTATCAGCTCGGGAAGAACATAGATCCATTGGTATATCAACAACTCGTCTCGGAACTGGCCCTAAAACTTCAGGGAAAAGAACCCGTTTAGTTTCGATTTATAATTGATATCCTTTTTTTGCTCGCTTGTTCATTCCTCGATCTTTGATTTTGATTAGCCAAGTTGAAAACCGTGTACCGTAGTTAATTCAGCGATTTAGGGGTCATTTCCCAGTTGCCCGTTGCGACCCGAGATTGCATTCCATACTTTTTGCAAAATTGCGGACATAAAAGACATCCGTCATGAACTGATCGGAAAATCGGTATTTTTTTCCTTTTTTTTTGTTGAATTATGCAATTCATTCATTCCTTTTATTGTGCCGTCTTGCATCTTCTCTTTTCCTCGTCTTGCAATTTCCTCGGGTTCGTCCAATAATCAATTATTTTTTGGCCATTTTTTTTTTAACTAAATCCAATTTGGATGGTGCTTACGAGAAGCGACAGTGCCAACAATGCGCAAGATTTATTTTGAGATATCTCCGGTTAAGTGAAGGCCAGAAGGCAGTATAGATTGCTACCTTTTATTTTTCTAACGCCGCCATTTTTACTCGCAAATAAAAAACGATTCTACTTTACTTAATCGATATCTCTAGATAAATCTGTAAGCAACGACGAGGAGACGTACGTGAGAGAGTGAGAGAAAGAGCTTAGTATTAAAAAATAAACTCCTCTGATACATGGAGGGCTTTGTAGAGAGACTCTGATTGTGTGATATAAAATGGGCGACGACGTTCATTTTCTCTGCCTTTTTATTTCATATCTTTTTTTTCTTTTTTAACATTGAGCCTTTGCTTTTCGTTCCTTCGATGGGGGACGCCAAACGTTTTTGTACCGAGAAGAGAGTCGGGGCGGTGAGTCTACTGCGAAGGTTGGTACGCCTGGAGAACGATGTACCATCGGTTCGCAAGGGACCCGCTTATTTTTTTTCCCCCTCGTTCGAGATTTCGAACGCGTCGTCCTTCCAGAATCGTAATTTCATTGTCTTACCAGTTACTTTTCATATCGTAGACGTAAGACGTACACATCTTGTACATTATAGACCGTCTTATGAAATAGAAAATATAAATTTATATTATATATAAATATATACAGGATGTCTCAAAAAAACCCGAAACCTGTGGGTTCTTCGTGCCGAAACTAATCAAAAGCGATTAAAAATTGAAAGACGGTAAGGTAGTTTCACATTAGCTTCGGCACGGAAAATCCATTGTTTGAGGGTTGTGCGATGTTTTTTGAGACACCCTGTATGTTATATTTAGAGGTTGAGAGAGAGAGAGAGAGAGACACGGATATATAGAATGAAATATATATATGAGAGAGAGAGAGAAAATGAGAGAGAGAAAGAGAAAAGAGAGAGTGAGAAAGACAAGGAAGTAAAATAATTTAGAAACACTATCAAATTTTCTTTCTGTAATACCTTCAAACAATCTATACCGAGGGACCAAATATAAGATATGTGAAGAAGAACAAAATATCTATGAACATGCAAGTTTCTTTTTCTCTGTTAGAGTTAGAGTTTCATTGAAATTACTGCCGAATTATTAGAAACCGTCCTTTATTAGGCAAAACACGTTCCCTGTCTAACGTTTCACGAGCAGGAATAAGATATTCGAAATTTGAAAAGACAAATAAAAACGCTTAGCTGATAAGAAATTAGAGTAGTTTCGCGCCTCAAGTTGTCCGCCATTTGTATTCTTGTGGAATTCATGCTCAAAGTAAGACTGCCAAGTAATCGGGACACTCCATATCATCGTGATTCTTGTATTTTGTACCTATTTAGGATTGTACACGTGAATAGAATTTAGAATGTTTCTATCATTTATCTTGGTTTATACATTTCCTTCTCCCTGCTTCACGTCAATTTCCCCTCGATTATTTTTCTGTCCTGTTTTTTTTTTTTTAATATATGCATAATATTTTCTCCGACATATTTCGTTCCTTTTATCCCACCTTGTTATTCGTTTCTTCTTCTTTTTTCCGTTGTAGTTTTCATAGATATCTTAGATATTTAACCTTAATCAAGGGGAGAGCCTCGACCAGTCTCTTCAGGATCCACCGAGGAGGGATAAAGAATCAAAAAGACGCCGCAGTTAGCCTTAGTACCTTCGGATACTTCTGTAGTTTTTTTGAATTAAATGTTAAGAAGGAAAGAGGGTATCCTAAGGGCTATGATTCCTTTTAATCGATAATTACGTGTCAGTGAGAAAAGCTTGCTGACCAACGGATAAAAGTGCCTAATTTGTATGCATATCTAATGCATCAAATTTGTAAGCTGCATTAGTAAATAGTGATAGCATACCGTTAGGCTATATATTTTGGATCACATTTTCTCGATAAATAAAGAGGACCATATACACGCACACATACACGTGAATTTGTATCGTACATGTGTCGTATGTACATGTTTCCTTGCGACTATATAAGCGATAAGATATACATATATAAATAAATATATATTTTTAATATATAATTATATATTATATATTTTATATATAATTATATATATTATATATATGTATACATAATTATAGTGAGCGACCTAGTTCAGAATTACTGGAGAAACGAGTGATAATTGATTAGTAACGACTGTTTATGCGTTATTATCCTTATTATTTAATATCCATGGCTTTTGCTCGTTGATGCTAATTTACTGTTTACACATGAAACGAGGAGAAACCGTTTCTTTATCGCGACAAAGTATTAGAAATATAAATTGACTAGTTTTAAGGTGTACGAACAATTAAAAATTCACCTCTGCGACGTTCGTCTTTGTTGCGCTTAACGATAATAATTGTAACTACTGCCCAATTTATGTTCTCTCGCACAAATGTGCATGGAATTAAACGAATAAATATCAGCGAGTAATTTTAGTAGTTTCTATGACTCTTATTTAATTACTGCCTCTATCACACTTAAGTTGCTACGTTGGGGTTCAAGGGAGCCCCATGTACTTACACAATTATAATACATTAATAAAACGTTTATAATTCATAGAAGAGTTTCGTATAAGTAATCGAATAGTTATTATTATTTAAATGCAAAATATTTTCACAGATGAAAACCATTATTGTTTTTTTCAAAATCAAGTTTCCAAAATCTGAGGATGCTGGCAAAAAAACGGCTTGTAGATTTGTAAGTATACAATTCATAAGAATTAGTAAAAAAGATTTATCGAATGACATATATAAATTTGATAATGTTTGTCGAACAGCTGCATCTCATTTTTTTATTTTATATTTTGTTTTACGTGTAAAAATATTAACTCTTTTCTGATTTTAATCTTAAAAAATAACGAAATATTTTTAAAACATTAAAAATTTCAGAGAAGTACTTTTTATGTCATCAAAACGATGTATTATTCAGGAAATACAAATTGAAAAGTAAAATAAATGATTGCAATTATATACATCGTTATTAATACTATCAAAGTAACTAATCGATTTTTTATATAATAAAATGTAGTTTTTGTTTATTGATATGAAACAATTTGTGTAATTAATAAGACTTTATAAGTTCGCTAAACACCTGAACCTTGATTCATTAATATATTTTTCATCAAGAATATTGTTTATATAAGAATATTTCCAGGTCCTCTCCAAAATCATTATTAAAATTAAAAATAATCAACGAAATGTACAAACGAGTAGTTTTAAATTTTGGTTGAAAACGTTTTTTGGAAATAAAGAAATACAGGAGATAGTACTGATCAAATGTAATAGAACACCCTGCGTAATACGTAGAACATTAGAATAAGTACGTAAGGGGTGTCCTAATAATTCTACAACATTACACATTCATTACAATCATAAAAATATTTCTTTATGTAGTGAGAATTGAAAATGATAATTTTAATAATTCTTTCCTTTATTTAACAATTAATGCATGTTATAAATTAATAAATGCAATAATATTGCTATAATTTCAAAGTTATAGAAAAATATCAAAGGAAAAAAGGTGAATGTAACTAGTAGTATACCGCATATATCTTTTTAGAAACTGTAATTCATGCACAATCTACAATTGCATTGTTATTCAAGATGAAAATGCATGTTTCGTTTTACACATAAATTGTCATTCTACTTTATAGAGGATGAGGAATTTAGTTAGATCTATGATAAAGAACATTGACTAAAACTACTTTCAGTGATATTGATAGTTACATTTATTAAGTGATTGCGAATATTTCTGCATTTATACGTCCCTGTTATCAAAGTATAGATTTATTTATAAAGTATATAGATGTAACGTTACGTGTGAGTATAAGAAATACTATTTTTAAATTCACGAAAGAATTGCATCGATCATTTTGCGATAAATAAAATTGAAAATCAATAGACAGAATTGAATTACGCATATAAGAGAGAAATTACTATCGATAAGTGCATTAACTAATAGATAGTATGTTATTTATCAAGTTTCATTGCTCTGTGAATCACTAACAGATTAAAAATAAAGTATTAATCATTTAAGTGTAACGATAAGTCATAACAATGTATGACAATAATTACCACACAATGCAGTAAGATTACGATTAACCTTCTTTGTTTTAATGAAAAAAGGAGAGATATAATAAACAAAAGGTGTAATGAAACTTTATTAAATATATTGTTCTTATATGTTAGTTAATAATTGCATGTTAACGTTGGATTTAAAATAATTACTTATCGGATATTGTCGGAAAATTGTAAAATTGCATTATAGAAGTGAGATTAACTAAATTATTAGTAATTATAAGAAAATTTTGTTGCACAAAAAAACAGAGGAATAAGCAATTTTTTTATACAAAATATACGGATGTAATTAATACATATATTATTTATTTATTTGCATGAAAAGGAGGATATTAAATAATGTTAAGACTCGAAAATAAATTCGGTATTGATTACCACTTTTATTGTGAACAGGAATGATTTAAAATTTAACAATAAAGGTAAGGCTAAGGTATGAAGAAAACAATGAAAACAGTATTACGATACAAAATTTAGGTATGTATAATAAATTTATTAGTGAAAATGAAGATGTTCGAAATCGGTTTAAAATTTTCAGTTGTCCACCGTAATATTTCAATTTCTTCAAATATCAACAGTGTAACTATCCTATTTTGAAAGACATAGTTTCGATTTTAATTTTCAATAGTACCGAATACAGTAGAGTTCTGTAGCAAAAATGACGTGTAACCGTTTAGTAAAAGTTTTATTTAATAATACAAAAAATTTAATAATAAAAAATAATGTAATTTATGAAAGAGGGTACATTAATTAGCTTAGAACAAGATGAAAAAGAACTCCGCATGGTTACTGAGTATTGCAATTTGTAAAAGTATAAAAAATAGAGTGTTATATTTAAAAATTTTATTCAAAAAAAATTTTTATATATTTTAAAAACAGATTGATACTTCGGAATATTCTGTGCAAAAAGTATGACGCTGCAATATTAAAAATCAATAATTCGTGAGATATTCCGAATTGTTGCATGAACACATTTAAAAATTTAAAATAGTTCATGAATTATTGACTTTTTTTCATTTCTTTTATAACAATTTTCACAATACTAATACATGTAAAAGTATGTATGTATGTATTGTCTTTTTTCAAAAAAAGAAATTTAAATCAATTTTTTGAATAGTGACGTATATGTTTTTATATAAACTGGTTCTACTGAATATTCAACACAATAAAGTATTGGAGTGTATTATTAAAAAATTGGATAATTCGAGAAATATTTAAAATTTTTGTTTAATAGAAAATGAAATTTTTGAATTTATATCTCATGATTAGTTGATCTTTTCAGTATTATCAAATTTAATTAACAACTTTTTCCCAAAGTATATTTTTCTACTTTTCAAAATAATAAAATAGGTAAAGGTAACAGAGTTATTGTCAATACAAAAGTATTATTAAAGTCGTCCAGAAGCCACTATAGAGTATGGAAGTCGAAAATACAAAAAGCTTAATGTAATCTTTATTTTTTATAAAAAGTGAACAATCTTTTGAAATTTATTGTGAGATTTATAGATAAGGTGAAGTAAGGTAAGTTCGTAAACGGGGCAAGTGCCTATACAGGTTATTTTTATTACAATATGAGCGTTTCTCCATTTAGTATGTTTGTTCCCTTGTTTTCTTTCACTATATCCCCTGTTATATTTTAGCTAAGAGTACTTGTTTGTAGTATAGAGTATTTGCATAATGCAGTAAAAAGCATTTTATAGCAGATTTGTTAATAATTCTGTTCTTGCCCCATTGCACATGAAATAAAGTTTCAAAGTATTTAATTTCAGGTTACGCTCTCACCCCATTTTCGAGGGAAGTGCAGAGCAGTGGACATTTTAAACAATTTCCTATGAAAATCAAAATGTACAAGGAAAATTAAGGTCCTAGTTAATATTAATTAAATAGTAGTAATCGTGCAAAGCGTTCGATATTTATTGTGGCAAATAGCTGGTCTTTAATAATATTTTCATAACATAAGTCTTAATCTATGTGTTTAACATCGCGTTCCCTTTATTACTATTTGAAATTTGAACGTCTTCCCGCACTTTTATAGATTTTAAACGTTGCCGATAAGTGGCGGTGTTACATGAATTGTTGATGTTACTATAATTAAAAAAAAATTGACAATTTAAAACAAACGACATAGAATTGTGCATTTAATATACAAATTTAAGTATTTGAGATTAAAATTCTTTTGTTAATTGATTGTTTTTACAATTATTATTTATTAAACAATTTTTAAAGTTAAAATAAATTTTAATAATATGATGATGAATGGACTGAAATGAAATTACTCTTATCGAATATAAACATTTTTGTAAAATTTTGTTGACGTTTCTTTACAATTTATTTGTATCTCGTTTACTTCAATAAACCCTTTAGTTTTTTATTAAGTTATACTTTAAACTTATTTTAAAAATTTCATGATGTCTTTTAGTAATGTTCTTTTAACCACTTTTGTGTTATTCATTTGTTTATAGAGTCACGTTCGAATGAACATATTTTTGGAAACTTCCTAAGTATTAAAACTAAATTTATATTTATACCGATCTTAAATATAAAAATAGAAGGCGCGGTATAAATTTTCTCTACAAATTGACTCATTCTGCCACGTTTTTGTTTTCACGATTAAATTGTAAGCTTATTAGCTTTAATTGTAAGCACAAGTGATCGGTAAGAGTTAACTATTAAATACTATTTCAACTTTCATTATTCTTCTTAATATAATTGTAGTAGTCAGTAATCAGTTATGACTGATATAATTGTTCGGAAAATCAAAAAGCAAGTTTAAGTTTAAAACGCGCATATCGAATGATACGGGATATTTATACCTATTATTTATAAGCGAACTAAATGTATCAAATGTACATTTTAATGATATATAAAAATAGTTAATAATATTTAGAGATTTTTAATGACACCTAATGGTACCGAGGAATATCTGATATTAAACTAAATTATAATTAATGGTACCAAAAGAATAGAAAATGTTATAGGTTAAGAAGTATTTACAAATATTTTGAATAATTAGTAGTGTTTAACAATATTGTATGATACGTGATAAAATTTAATAGTATCTAAAAATATCAAATGATGAAAGATACTTAATTGCATCTAAGGATAGAAAATGTTATAGAATACTTGGTGATACTCATAGATATGGCATCAAAAGAATATGTAGTATTTAAGAATATTTCATTGCAGTTAATAGTACCTAAAAGTATCTAATGAAATATAATATTATCTGAGGATCCTAATGCTGAAGAATATCCAATGCTATGTAAGGTTTATATGGTATGAGATATTTGATGTTATCGAGAAATATTTAAAAATAGTTGAAGGTGCTAAGTGGTTAAATAGTATTAAAGAATATGTAATATTAT